AGAGTGGTCCAGTGGCAGTGAACGAACAGCGTGTGGGAAAAAACATCAGACTTTACAGTGCCTCTCAGTTTCAGATTTAACTTCTTAATTTCCTGTAGTCATGCGCAATGTCTGAGAAGTTTTACGGGCCACACAACGTGCTTGGGAATATGATTTTCAAAGCATTTTTTGTCAACCCTCATCACTGTCCGCAACGTGAAAATAACTTTGAAATATGTCTTCTGACCCTCCTGTTTCTGCGGTGATGCAAGGGAGATGTCTTAGCCTTTTGGTTTTCCTTTTTAGATGAATCAGAGCAGAATTCTCCAGAATTTTAAGATTCTTTATACCTAGTTTATAAGGTTTATAAATATATGGTTTAAGTGTTTCACTGTGCGGATTTAGTATGCAAATGTTTTCCTGATTTTAGAAGGTATGATATGACTATTAAGGGACTGGATATTTATTTACATAACCTTTCAAAAGAATTAAATGCCTGAAGGTAATATTAAGACATATAAAACTGCAGAAGATGATAAAAAGTAACTGCTAACATTAAACAAATTTGATTAATCAAAATAATGTCTTACAATTCATTTGGTACAATAAATTTATTATAAATCAGTCAGAAAAATGCTTTCTTATGATCTCATTATACAGATAAAATTCTTACATTAGTACATCAATATTGTGGCATTGAGCTGTCACATCCAGCATGATTTCTGGAACAGACATTAAAAAATTTATTTGATAAATGACTCCTCACAGCTGTTGATGAATGTAATCTCTCCTGTCTGTATTCTACAGCTATTTACTTATTTGACTTCAGATTTAAAATGCACAATTAAGGATATCAGTATTCAATCAGTAAATACTAATACCCATAAAGGAAGAGAATTTAATTGTGAACTGATATGTCTATATGCCTCTATCTGAAAAATTTTATGCATGTTTCTTTAACTGCAATGCTCTCTCAGACTTGCTTAACCCAACAAAACAAAAAAAAAAAAAGGGAAAACTAAGGAAGGTCACTGAGAATCCCGTTTCTCTGTTTGAGTCATGGCCCCAGAATTACACTTTGGCCTGAGCACTAAGCTACTGAATTGAATGAACACATCAAAATGTGTTAATTAAACGGATCAGATTTAATAATCTCTTATGGAAAAATCAACCCTGAAAATCGAGATACAGTCTCAGAACCGGTGCAAACATATACAGTTCCTACTGATTAACATGATTTAAAAGCATAAATTCATTTTTAATGAGCAATTAAATTAGAAAGAAAAGATATAAAATTGCTTGCAAAAGTAGTGCAATGCTGAAATATAAATTAGTGATTTTGAATTAAGAGATTCAACCTGAGAGAAACTAATGCAATTTAGAGGTTTACCTGTCATTTCTAAAACACCAGTGCTATTAGCTTTTCCCCGGTTATTTTCTGCAAAACAGGTGTAGCGACCTTCATCCAGCTTTGTGATATTGATAATTTCCAGGCTCCCGTCATCCCAGATATGTATGCTATTGAGAGTGCAAAAAATACAGCAAGAGAAATTAGCTATTTATATTAGGAAGCAGTACTTTCAGTAAGAATTGTAGTTAAAAGACAAATCACAAACATCTCTTGGAAGCTTATGTCTATCTACTGTATGTATAAACACTCCTATAGTCAAAAATATTTAAACAGACTGTGGCACAATTAGATGCCTCACATTATTGCAAGAGAGTGTACTTTCAGTCACTTGTAGTCATCCAAATTCCCTTCTTACAGTTTTGTGACACAATCCAATTCTGAAACGTGAACAGCACCAAATGGACTGGTTAAAGTTGGATGCCCTGCTAGCTATTTGGATCCACATTGCTAGTAACATTTTGGCATGCAATCACCCTGAAATTACACATTCTTCTGCCCCTGATATCTGCAAAAGTGTGAACTAGCCTACAGGATAAACAGAAACATAAGGCAGCATTTTTAAGATTCACCGTGTCCACTACCAGTCAATACTAACCGGCTCCCATTTACAAGCAATTCTGTTCCTTTGCTCCATGAGAATTTTGGCTTAGGAGCAGCTTTAGGCTTGCATTCAATGATTACACGGCCCCCTTTAGCTGCTAGGATTTTCTTCTTCATAGGGTTCAGTTCAAAAGTAGGAGGTGAAGCTGAAAGCAAAAAATAACATAAGTGCTGCTGTTAGTGATTTTTCTGCAGAATGCAATTTGTTTGCAACATGAAGGTAAATGACAGAACTATTCAATTGTATACCAGTGTCCATTATTCAGATCAGTGTGAAGGTATTAACAATACAGAGATGTGGTGAGAAGTAGGTGATGATCTAAAAGAAACAGGAAGAATCATTATGTAGTTCTATGCTGTGTTACACTAGAGGTTTCTTTCTGATGATTTCTGAACCTCCATCTAAGTTTAATCTAACAAGATCAAAGTCTCCAGAAATCAATAGAAAGTTCCTCCCTTTCAAAGGCCTTTTGAACAGTCCTAATAAAATTTAGATTCCTAGAGCCCAACTTCTGTCAAAAGTTGCTCACTCGATCATACTTCAAATAATAGTTGAGTTTACTTTTCAGTAGTTTTAACCTGCTTCTAGCAACTTTAAGGTTGTGCTCTTCTCTGTAGTTTTCTGTTTGGCCGACTGGCCTTAGGTGCACACTCAGATGTTCAAGAGTGATGAGACATGACTGAAGCAAGCACCACACTTATGCATCTGAGGTCAGACCTTTGCTTAGGAATTTTCTCTTTATCTGTAATCAAATAAGAGAAAAAATGCTTTTAATTAGTTTGCTTCTTGGCCTGCCATCATTGTTAATCATGCCAGCAAGCGTGTGCACAGCATGAGGAGATAGGGCTATTAGTTAATTACAGCAGTACTGAGAAAAACTCTCACAAACATCCACCTCTCATGGATTTTGAAAATGCATGCAAAAAATGCATGTTTCTTGGTAATCCAGGCTGGTAGTGAGTACACAGTAATGGAAGAACAGTGAAGGAAGAAGCATTGTTGTGCAAAAGGTTGGGGAAGTCGAGAATAGTTTGGCTCTTAGGAAAGTCTGGAGGCAAGCATGAGATGGAAAGAATCCAGGGCAAATACTGCAGGGAAATCTCCCAGGAAAGCCACGTCATACAGCCAGTATGTCTGCTCTAATGACATCAGTAAAAACGTCAGAAATTGTTTCAAGCCTGAGTACTCTGGATCTGAAAGCCAAACTTTCAACAGGATGCTCCTTAGAAAAACAGAGTGGATTAATAACTACATCCAGACATCCAGCCATCAAATGGAACAGCTATGTCGCACACAAACATTGCAGCTGGTTGTAATGGGTTGTAGAAGGCAAAAGCAAAGGGGACAGTGAACAGGAAGAGCTTCAAAGGCCTAGGGACTGACAACATAGTTTCTGAAAATGCAGATTTTGCCCCACAGACGAGTGAGCATAGGTGAGTGAAAAACAAAATACTTCTCAATCAGTTCTGCAAGCTTGAGATGGTAGTCAGCAACTCTACATGCTTTGTATCATTTCTGCAGTTCCTCTGAAGGGTAACAGCAGCAAGTAAACATCAGAAATAATAGAGCAAACATTCCTGGCATATTAGTAACTTGATTTCTCAAGTCGTTGCCAAAACCCAGCCAGGGAGCTCAAATAAACTCCACCTCACCTAGATTCAGAGAGGGTTCTTAGCTTTATCCGCACAGCAATCTGTTACCAAACGATGCTTGCAAATACGACTGCTATCTTACTCAAAGCTGAAATAATAAATAGAGCAAATAACCCCACTGACCCACAATCTTCAGTTCAGCATTTGCATAAATAATTCCATGTGTGTTTTCTGCTATACATTGGTACATGCCGGCATCATCGAAGCTCAGACTTTGCATTCTTAGTTCACCTTTCCGGAACTAAAACACAGAATCAATAAAACAAGGTATTAATATAGACTATGCATGCTGGAGAATTCACACCCATCCACATTTCTTCACTTTTTTTTTAGCAACAGCATTCAGAAGAGAGTCCCTCACACAACATTCAGGCATCGGCGAGATTTTATTTTATCCATGTTACATTTCAGTCTTTGTGACAATGTGTTCACCTTCTTTTTCTGAAAAAATATTCAGTGTAGATCGATAATTAGTTGGAAAAGATCTAGCTGAGTGGTACTAGATACATCTACTCTTCAGTTCACTGTTACCATACCAATGCCAACATTACTGATTCAGAAATCAGAAACAAGAAATGAAATTCATTTTATGCACATAAGCTTTGTTTTGACATGCTCAGTGTTCATTATGTTATATTGTATGTACACTGTTTTGCAGCCGTAAAAGATAAAAGCAAGTCCCAATGAGGTAGGAATTTTTCAGAAGATTCCTCTGGGAGGTAATACAAACTATTTTCTATTACTTTGTTTTAATATAAAAAGAAAATATAGTAAATCAAAGTACTTGATCTATTTCTGAAAAACTCGGTATAAAAATGCACAAAATGTGGTGGAGTATTTTGTAACTTACAAATAGATGTCAACCCCTATTTGAAAGATCATATTAATAAATTCTGTTTTCTTGTGAAAATCAAACTGAAAAGCTTTAAACCTTCTATATAAGTCAATTGGAATGCATGGAGCAATGAAAGATCAAAAGAATACTATTTACCTGAAAAAAAATAGATTAAAGGAAACATATTTCCTGTACCATTTTATTTAAAAACATTTAAATCATTTTTCCTACAAAGAATCTTTGTTTTGTGATAAGCGAAATACCTAATTAAAAATTATCTGATTTAGAAACAATCTACATTCTCAAAGCAATTAAAATATTTTTGCGATTTTCCATTTCAAAGCATCTTGTGATGCAGCATAAACTTCTGGCATACTACTGGAGAATCACACACAGCTTTCTGCAATCCACTATGCAGATTTTATCAGTGAAAGCCCAGTTCAGTGGGGGCCATCAAGCAATTCACTTGCTAAATTACTTGTTTGTACCAACTACAGGCGCTAGAAAACAGCATTGTGTTTTTTTCTGGTTTAAACCATCTCCGTATGGCAGATGGTGATATCCCTGTTCTCGCTCCAACCTCCGACGTTTTTCTGAAGATACGCAGCCAAAACAATGCTGCCTTATTGTCCTTTTTCCTTTGCTTGCCAAGATCAGTGTCACCACAGCTCAACAGATGCTGCGTTACATCGTGCCCTCTTCTACGCTCTTTGTTCTTTAAAGGCTCATCCTACGGCTTTAAGCAACGGACATTAAATACGTTGTTGAAATGCCCGGACAGAAAATCTGCTTCATTTAAACAAAATATTCAATGCAATAAACTTAAATTGTCGAATGGTACTTCACATCACCGAAAATAATGGACTTTTGCAATATTCTGTGGCTAGAAAAAATATGAAAAAGTACACGACATAGGAACACCACTGTTCATTTAAAAAATTATTCTTTCTTCTCTTGTCTCTACTGATTCCATTTTTCCTTACATTTTTAGACACACTCATGTTTAATGTGGTAAAAAAGGATTATTTTTAGAGAGAATCTGACAGACATTTTTTATCCAGGGAGAAGAACATAGCATTTACTTAGAAAGGTCTGGAGAACAACAGGATCTCCACCTCCCAAATATGTGGTAAAAAGACAAGCTCATAACTCAGAGTTGAGTATTACATAGCCTGAAGAAATGCATCTCAAAACTGAAGAGAAGATTTAGATAAAACTTTTAAAAACAAATTTTAATCCCTAATGCAAGTGGAATCAGCAAATATTTATATCATTATAATCAATTTTCTTTTAACCTTTTAATAATGCATGTTTAAAAAAATAATTTCCATCAGCTAACCAATCAATCCTGCGTTGACTATGGCAATATACTTACCGAGACACCATTCTTCAACCATCTAATTGTTGGAATAGGCTTGCCTGTAGCTACGCAAGGCCAGTATAGGTCACTGCCTATATCCCTCTCTGTGTCATTGATATGTTCTACCCACTCAGGAGAGGCTGAAGAATAAAAACGTGATGCCTTGTAAATATACCAGATATACACATTTAATTAGCATTACAATCTATTAATTCCACTGCTTTTTCCATGATACTTCAGAGGCCACACAAAGTAATGATGACATCCCAACAATGCACCAGCACAACAAAGACTGCAGTGAAGATGTTTATATATTACCACATAGACTCAAAATAACTTCAGACTATTTTTTATGAGAAAAAAACATGGAATTAAAATAATGCTTCATGAATGTCCAAAGATATAAGATGTTACTGCTTATGCTGACCTGTGGAAATTATTCAGTAACATCACAAAAATGATAGTTAAATTACATGAAATTGTGCAAAATAATCCATGTACTGAAAGGGTCTCCAAGAAAAATATTCTCTTGGTCCAGAGAAGATATTTAAGAAATTAATATTGAAAATGCCCCTGCTTTTACTAAGCAAACAAATCTATTTATTAGCTTTACCTGTAACAACCAGTAACAACCTTCCCACACGAATTTTGAATTTATCCCACTAAAGTTCAAGCAATTTACTGAGGATATTAACTCAATAAATGTTCTGTACAGACAATGAAAAGAGACAGAAATTTTCTGAATGTAATTCAGAAGTTATGTATGATCTTTTCATGTCACAGTTTTGTGGCATAACTGTCAGTCAAGGACTCAGGTTACTTGGGATGATTCCGCTATGAGCCATCAGATACAATTTTTTGTTTCCCTCATTTAATCAAATGCATGAGGGGAAGAGATAGACACTGAAGGCATAAAGAATTGCAGCTAATAAGAGAGCTAAGACAGTTAGAGAAGACAAATGAAATGAGGAAACAAGAAAGCATAACAATTCTAATGATCTCTTTTTCTTCCTGGCTGTTCTTTCACTTCAGGTACTCTAAACGTATTTAATTTTCATCGTGCATAATTATATTAATGCTAAGCTGTCAAGGTGTGTATACAGCTACCATAACCAGACAAACTGAGTAGTTGTTCGATTCATACATGAATGTTATGCCTTGTATTCAGTGCATGAGTTTTCATTTTGCTCTATTAACTCGAACAGCAGTGTGTCAGGATGATGCAATGAGTCAGCACTGACATAAAGTGTGAGAACACGGATACTTCCAATATAAGGAAAAGCAGCATAGATCATGAAAGATAAAATTGTTCTACCTACCTTGTACATAAACTCTTGCTTGATGTTTATCTTTTCCTTTATAGTTTTCAGCTTCACACTCATAAAGTCCTTCATCTTCATACTGAATATTGAAGATCTTAAGAACTGCACCAGACATGCTTATCTCAGCAGTGGCTGGCATGGGTTCAAGGTATTTACTCCATCTAAGTTCAGGAACCGGACTTAAAAAGGTAAAGTACAAATCAGCATGTTCAAGAACTGGCTGTTACATTGCAGACTACAGAAAACTGTTTGATGATGAAATCTGTATTTTCATTCCCTGGAGTATGAAAGCAAATGGTGCTCTACAATAACTTTAAAACATACTTACTTCCCAAGAGCAAAACACTCCAGTGTCACATTTTGCCCCAGGAGAGCATATGTGTCCTTGAACTTCACTTTGATATCAGCAGGGTATACTTTTGCACCTAACAGGAAAAAACAGATTCTCAGAAAAGGCACAGCAGAAACAAATATAGCTGCTAAAAATTCCACAGTTAAAGAAAATTATTCTTAAAATTCCAGACAAAATTCTCTTTTACAGTGAATAAATAGCCTGGCCATCCATGAAGTCTGATTTAGCACTGAACTTTTAATAGTAAGGCACAATTGTTTTACTCAGCAACTAGTTATCTTTCTCTGGATGGTAACACCCAACATTTTTTACAGCACAGTGCTTTATCATAATCTTATTTACTTGCATTTGAAGCGTGATGATGTACTGTGCATGTGGGTAGATAAAAGCCTGAGTCTCTATTTTCTGCAGAAGCTTTTACTGGATGGAATATTTTGAATTATTGTGAATTTAAGCTCAATATTATCTTATCAAGGGTATGAAGGAGGTAGAGCCAGCAAATCTACAGCTTAATGAGGGCATTGGGATGTAAATGTAATCAAATCTACCTCCTGGTGATCCCTGTAGGACTATTCTGGCAGTTCTAGGTGAAGATCTCAATGTGAATATTGGCCATGAAAATTTGGACAAAGATCACTGATTTGTAATTAACCAAATCCAATCACAGTTCTTCACTGTAGTATGGGAAATTTAACAGATAAAGAGACACTGAAATCCTGATGATCAGTTTATGAGACTTCGGTGACTTACAATCTGAAGTGGCAAAAGGGAACTCGGTTACCATTTGGAAAACATGCAGTTTTCATGAAGAAATGGCAGAAAATAACCTAGTGACACAAAACCACATAGGTGTCAGGGGATTGGGCATGAGACAAAAAGCCCTTAGGCCACTGTTGGGTAGGAAATTTCAACAGAGGAAAAGGATTTTCCATTTTCATGGGGGATTTCCTGGGAAAAAAATTAATTCCTGAAGCTGCTTGTTAACTTTTACATAAAGTTTCTGTTTTACAGTCATAGTCCTTTGAACCAATGCCAAGACCAGAAAAGATATTTAAGATTTTGGGATGAGTACAGAGTACATAAAAGAGATGGGGACTCTGAGGACGAGAACTCTGATCTCAATAATATGAAAGAAAGTTGTGAATGAATCTGGGAAGATTTCCTTCACTGAGTATTCACTGAGGATGAAGATGAATTTGGACCTCTGTATGTGGAAAACTAAATAACATCGTGCAGTAGCCAGTATAACTTGCCATGTAATTCTCCTCACAGAGCTGAAAGTAATTATGAATGAGCAAAATTAAAATACGGTTAGAACATTGCGTGTACATTGTATTTCCAACAAATACTTACGATCAGACTGTGGAATAAGTGGAATGAATTTACTGAATACACTCTTTGTTATTGAAGGGCTGGACACAAAACACGAATAATTGCCCTTATCTGATGCTTCTACATTTGCAATGTAGAGATTGCCGTTCGTCTGTGACACAAATCGTCGTTTGTCCAAAGCAATGAATACAGGGAACTCATTTAGAAGCCAGCGATAACTGAGATCATCTGGAGGAAAATATTTTCTAGTCAGTATTAAAAACCAATACTACCAGCTACTTAAGACATGGAATACTGTTTGCATATAAATTACTTCACTCTTGATTTCTAGTTTATAGATCTTTTCTTCAAGAGAGGCAGCTACGTGAGAGAGAATATACAAGTCTCAGCAGCCCGCTAATAGCTGTCTACACTGGACATCGGGGTACTGCTGCCATGAGTGCAGATTACTATGGATCCAGTTACGGTGTGCATGGCTCCCCTTGGGCACAGCCTTCCCACAGGAACCAGAGTGCGAGGTGGGGAGATGGGCAGCTGGGTCTTGCCCTGACCCAACTGAGAAGTTGGAAAGCCCTTACCAGTATTGTAACCAGAAATTTTAACCAGAAATACGTCTTGGTTCTTCATTTCCTTGCAATATTTAGACACAGAGTACGAAAACTAAGACGTTATCCCATTTTACAAGGAAAACGCTAACAGCCCAATTCACCCCTCACGATGGAACTGCAGATGTCTGAGGTTATGGGCATAATTCCTGCAGAGCTTTTCAGTAGCTAATGCTGAGGGAAAGGCACTTCCAGGGCCATAATCATTTCTGCTGTGGTGACTTCACCCAGTGGAATGAAGCTCGGCCCTATCCAAGGCCAGTAGAAAGTCTAGGATGACAGTGACACAGTGACATGTACTCAGGTCTTTGGAATGGTAAGCCAAGTCTCCCCTCCATTATCCAGATTAATTTGAGTCATGCTATTTGTAATATCAAAAATTGTTTTCAAATTCAACAATATCCTTTACATATGGTCAAATACAAGCAGATATTCAAAATGGAAACCTAACCTTAAAGGTGATTCTCAAGCTACATAAAAGTTACTGTTGAATTAAACTTAAAGGAAATCTAAAAAAATAAACGTTATTTTGTCTTGTAATCTTAAGCAGTTGAAAATGAAGCACTTTGAGCTGAATTACCTGGGTAGTGGTAAGGGGGCTCACAAAGAAGCACTGCTCCAACACCTTCTCGGACTTTAACCTCATAGCGCTCCTCAGGCGGAAAGGGATCCAGATCTAATTTTTAAAAAGGGAAGGGAGGAAAACTGTAGGTTTTTCACTACAATAAATTTTTTATTATTGTTATTTTCAGCCCTGTAGAGATAAATATACAAATACAATAATATCTGGCAGCTAGACAGATACCTGTGGACCCATAATGCCAGTTTTGCTCATTTTAGCTTTGTTATTATCAAGTACAATGAATTTGTTACACTATTTTAGTCATCATAATCGCAAATGCCAGAAAAAAGTAGTGCAGATTGTATCCCTAAGACTGGTCAGATGAGCTACATTTAAAGAAGGAATCCCAGGAAGAGAAAGGAAAACAGTTTTAGGTTCTCTTTCAACTGGCGTCTTCAAAATGTGAGTGTAATTCTTTACTGTAACTTAAAATAGCTTCTCTAAAATGACCTGGCTTCCCTCCCTGACAACTCCAGCAGCCAAGGACTTGCAGCAGTTAGCTCAGACACATCTTTCGTGTCAGAGGTTTGGGACAGAAGTGGCTTTGATCTCAGGTGAAACCTTAGCTTAGCCTCTTTAAACCAACTTCCATGCAGTAGGGCAAAGGAGCAGTTGTAAAAGGATAAAGAAACAAGTCCTTCATGGAGCTGAATATTGTCCCACAGACTGCGGGAGAACAGTAAGGGTATCTGCAGTGATAAGACAACAGTTGCATGAGTAACTTCATCTAGGTCAACAATTGCACTCTGCAGCTTCTTTTCACTCTAATTTTGTGTAGACAGTTCGAAATTAAACTATAAACATCTTGAGGCAGGGAATGCCTCTTGTGAAGTTTCTCCATGTCACCAAGGGCAGTGAGATTGTTGAGATCCTGACTGGAGTCCTGCTCTAAATACTAGTGTGGTGCAAACAATATATTCATAATAGCCAAGTGCACAGGCTCTGAATGCAATATTCTACCACAGAAATCATCTAAATTAACTTCATCCAGATTAATTCAGCTTTCTTCAATGGCAGGCAGCTATCCAGTTCTACTAAATTCCCAAGGCTGGCTCTGAGATCTCACTAAAACTTAAGTTCACAAGCAGCAAGTCAGAAACAAGAAAAAATCAGGACAGAGCTACATGCAAAAAGAGATTAAGTAGACTATTATTAAACAGACTATTCACTGCTGTAAATTGCAACATATAGTTAAACAGATCCAGTAGATGTTTTGCCATATCTAAAAATAATTAACTTTGTAACAACTGCTATATTTACTAAATATGGTACAGATGAAGGATTGCTCCAATCCAGTCAGACCTGAATGACTACAAGAATCTAGGATGCAAATGTTATTCTGCTTTGGCAAATGCAGGAAAAAACCTCTAGGAGAGTTGTGTCAGTGTCCAGGGAAAAATGCCTCTCTCAGCTCCTGAAATACTAACGTTTATTCTGCTCAAACAGAGCAGAAGATAACACAGAGCTTTCCAGTGACTGACTGGATCTTGGCTGGATCAATGCCTAAATCGTAGGCATTGTAATGAGCCATTCTAAGGACTTCTGATTATTATTTTATATGATTTTATCCTGTGCCTTAGTGCAGTCAATGTATTCAGTTCTCCACACTATCTCCCAATTAATTTGGAATATTACTCTTTGATAAAAAAGAAATTAAGTATACTAGATTGACTTCGTAAAAATCAGCTATTTGACCAGATAGGTTTTGTAATCAGAGCCAAGGAAGATCTTCACATGGATTGGAATACCTGTGTTCATATAATATCTGCAGCAGTTTGAGTATATTCCCATTCCATTTGCCAACCCAGAACTTACTACACAACTACTGTCTATCTTCAAAATACTGACTGATCTCTCCTGCAAACATCAATTTTCTTGTTATGGATCTTTCAATCACCTTGTAAACTTGCCACTATTATTCATTTCTGCTTTCTTTGGAACAGATTAGTGTTAAAAATCTCTTACAGAAAGAGTAAAAAATTAAAAATTACAATCATTAGCAACGTGTTGCTCTTTTGATACTGCTTTGCATATGGTGTAGTGTTTGATGAAAGGAAAACCTACCATTGTTATTTTACCAAGTTATTTTAACTATTTTAAGTTTACATTTTAAGTGTAGACATTTTGTTTATAGCATCCTTTGAAACTTTGGGACAGCCATTACAAAGTTATAGATGTGGACTAGGACAGGCCATTTGTACATGTAAAAAAATTATGTTGGTCCTGAAATAGAATGGTCTATGCCAGGTGCAGGGAAGTCATACAACTATTGAGATGTCATTGTGTACCTTCTTCCCACTTAACGAAATGCTCTGTACTCTGATTGGGTCTTGATATCTTCTTTGCATAAGCACTACTTGGTTATCACTCAACAATTATAATAAGCTGATTCCAGGAACTCTTAATTGCAAGACATTCCTTTTTAGCTAGAATGAAAGAATTAGCATAATCACTGCACTCCTATACGCAAACAGTTAGTACCTAGAGAGCATGGAAATTTTTCCTTGTCATTCTTTCAGCCTCTCCGATATGAAATTGCTGTGTTTTACCATTCTGAAACTGTTTCCCAGATAATAGAACAGTATATCACCTTCTGATTTTGCTCAGCACACACCAAAAAGCCACTAAATATTCCTGTAGGAAAAAATTCCTTCCTTCGGGACAATGTATGTAACAGCTAAAAAAGACTTTAATGGGTTTTTAAGCACTGGATCTAAAAAGATCCAGTTCTACTAAAGACAGTGTTCTCCGATGGATTAATTGACATGAAGTTTATGAGAGAATGTGGCTTTTGTTCCATAATCTCAGTAAATTTGACAGTAAGACAAAACTAAAATGTCTCTCTCATGTACAGCTGGTCAAGACTATCTTGAACTCTTCTAAATGGTTGTTGCCATTTTTCAATCAGTTTATGCACAAGCAAAGGAACAAAAACTTCCACTAAAGATCAGACATTTTCTATATTTATTTTAGCAACTCTATATTCAATTCTTTAGAAACAGTGATCATGGAAGGAAATATTTTTTATAGGTGATCATAAAAAGAGAAGGGAAGAAACACAACAGTGTAAAAAATAATGACGGTATCATTTTTTTAACAGATATTTATGAGTTTCCAGTTACCTTTTCACTTCTATTCCTTGCCTCTTTGCCCTATTATAATTTAAATACCTAAATATTATATATTAAGGTTCTGTTCAGTATAATTTCCAGTACGCTAACTATTAACGTTCAGCTCACACAGTCTGTGAGCTAGTAGGGAGAAAAACATGCCTTAGACTGTTTTTATTCTACTTATTCTACTTTTTTCATATCTTATGTGTTTTTTTGTTTCATAACTGTTGTAAGCTACTGTTATAGCTTTTATCCTACTGGTCGTTCAGGACTGGCACCACTGATGCCTGCTTTAGGTATAAATAAATATCCTGTAAACTGAATTTTGATGTCATCTTCATTAGAAGAAAATAACAGCCTGGCCTTCTATTCATTTCAGAAAATACACTGGGTAAAATATAGACTAAGACTAGATCAACTATGATGTGATCCATCAGCTCATTATAGCCTCTGAGTTTCCTTGGTATATGTGGTCCCACAGTCTTATAATTACTAGCTGAAAGCAGAACTTTTCACTTCATCTCTGATCTTATACAGTAAGGATTGAATTCTGCTCACAGAGGCTGCTGAAAGACAAGAGGGGCACTAAGCACGTAATGTCAGGATTAAAGGACACACGGGGCTTTGTGAATGGTCACCAGTAAGAGTGGATTCCTTTTTTTGTAGATTCCCTTTTTTGTTCTTTGATGAAAGAAAACATCCATGGAAAAAAGCATGTTAAGGCAAAATGAAATAAAAATCCCAAAGTCAATCGTCAGTCAGTAAAATTTTACGTTAATCTTCATGTAGTACACCAGTTTTTCACAACGCCTGTATTTGTTGACAGTGCAGGTCCGTGCATATGCATGCATTCACAAGATTAGGTGATGAATGTCTGAAGCTGACAGCGATGTCCCCCAGCAGGGTCTTCATCGCAGCCTAGGAGTCAGGGAGCATGCTTTACTAGCGAGTGCCATGCCTTCCTCCTGCAGGCATCCCAGTTGTGTCTGCATGGCAGCAGTATCTCATCACCATATGCCCCCACTTGCATCTTTCTGCTGTGACTATTTCCCTTCAGGTCCTGCCACGATTTAAAAAGAGTCTGGACATTATTATCTCAGGATCTGGCTCCATGAGTCTCTTCAATTAATAATTTAACAATAACTCACTGAGAAGGTTGTCATGTCAGCTAAACGCTGAAGAATATAAAATGCTTACAAAACTGATTTTGTGTTGATCTCTGCAGACTAAGGCACTTAGGATACTGGTTTTACAGAGTCATAGAGCTATAGCACACGTTAGCAGAAGACACTGCAGTGTAAAACATTGGGCATTTCAAGCTAACTGTAACATTTCTACGTTTTGACGTAAACATCAGCTTACATCCAAAACTCAGAGTGGCTTCACTGCTTCTGACAGTTCCAAAGATATTCGACACTACACAGACATATTTTCCAGCATCCCTTGATTTCTCCGGATTATTGATAACAAGTCTGCCTCCCACCATACTGTAGCGCTCCTTTGTTAAATCAATATCCCAGTTGTTGAGTTTCCACCTATTAAAAAAGAAAAGCCAGACATAAGATTTGGCCCAGAAAAACAAATCTAGTAAGAAATATGATTTGAAATAAATTGTGATAAACTGTACACATGAAGCTATTAATATAATTCTATATATGTTTTAAGTTTTTCTTCAGCAAGAGCCAAAGATTTGATGAACTTCACAGGTCTTTTAAACATAACAGTCTCAATCTGCTTCAGCCTTGTGAAGATGTGATGTAGGCTAAAATCTGATTGCTGGCCATATAGCACAGCATACTTGAGCCAGCTGTGAGTGAATTAGCTAGTGATGAAGCACTGGGATTATAAACATATCCTCAAATAGTTATCTAAGGCCAAATTGGCTAAGAAAATTTTCCCTTTGCACCTTTAAAGTACAGACTAATTAAATCTGTAAAAGCTTTTTGCAAACTTGCTCTAGGGGATGAAAATGTTTTCTAAACCCTAACATGCCAGTGAAGGCTGTGCAAGAACAGTGGCACGCCTGATTTAAGACCTACTTACTACCTTGAAAAAATTGCTGGACTCTCCCACCTTAATTCCTGTAAAACCCCGCAGCCAGTTCACTGAGTCGCTGTAACTTTCACTTCAGGGACTACGAGAGGAACTCGGTGGACCAGGTTTGGCCCTTACTGACTTACACTGATTTCAACAAAGTCACAACGCAAGGAGTGGGAACCAATATTCACGATTTAAATTTACATCTATTGCTGTGTCCACAAGGGGGAGCCTATAACCTTCTTTGAAAGCGATTACACGTTTCTGAGCACAAACGGGAAAGCTGCAACTTAAACACATTTAAAGATCATCGAATTCTTGCAGTATAAATAATTTTTTGTCAAAAGGTAAAGATAGGCACTAGTGTTTGAAAATGAGAGCGCATATCCTATGTGTTGCTTCCTTAATGAACTGTTGTACTGAAATATACAGAATACTTATTTGGAAGCTGTAATTGCAATTGTCATGAAAGAAATAATAACAGAAGTGGTACTAACAAGAAATAAATTAAAAATAAAAATAAATAATGAAATGGTAGGATTTTCAAGATGCAGTAAATAGCATTTAGCTTTTACAGGATTTTAGAGGTATCACTTCAGTCCTGTGAGATATACTACATGCCTGTATTACAAATAAATCCTCTGTTCAGAAATACCTAGCAATAACTGTCATGAGGACAGCTTATGCTGCAATGAAAGAAATCAGAAAAACATCACACAAAACGTGTAACTGTAAAGAGTAAGAATTAAAAAATTTCTCTGGAATTTATTAAAGGCAAAACACAATCGTATTTTTATGATACATACTTTATTTTTCTATGAGAATAATATTAATTTATATTGTTTTGTAAAACAGGGTTACTCTGCAGTATAAAAAATTAACCTTAACAAAGACAGTAATTGCATCTTCTTGCTCAAACCTTGCTTCTTAAATAGCAACTCCTTCACTCCACAAAAGCTGTGTTTGTGAGTGACTTCATTCACATGGGTAGCTCTCACCAGGGTCAGCTGGTGCGTGCTTCTCATACATGCATAGCGTTTCTCACACAGGAAAAGGCAGAGTAAGATGTCTAACAGCACCCAGTCGGGCACACTGAATTTAAAAGAATTTGTATCTCTTTAGAGCTGGGAACAAATATTTGAGATTTTTTTTTTTGCTATAAACTGCCTACCAGCTTAGGAAGGTGTATTAGTAAAACGTGTAGTTATCTATCTGTCTTCTCTTTTTCCAACGCTGATTTGAGTTTCTTCCAGCTGAGGCGTAAAACTGCAAGAATATAAAGATATCTACAGGTGAGTTAGGAACCACCCAAGAGGCTGTATCTGAAGGGAGCCTACAGAAAGAGAAGGTATTTGAAGAAACCTTAGAAATGCTAGAACCACCAAGAGATCTATGAAAACTCTAAAGATGGTAGGAGTGCTACAGAAAAAGGTAATTATCAGTGTGTATTTGCATAAAAGGTCATTTCAGGAGAGACAGTGCAGTAATCTGAGGTCCATGATTTGCAGACAGGACTGGGGACTAAAGTATTCTTATCTTGTCCCCATGAAAGTATGTTGCCTTTCCTAGCAGTGTTGAAAGTCCCAGCAATGACGGGGGAAAAAAAATAGATTCCTAGAAACTACAATGAGTATTTGAACTTTAGCAAGGGTGAAGGACCATCAAATACAAAAGGAAGAGTGGATGAATGCTTAACAAACAGTGAAAATAAAGAACTTCTAAAAGAAGACTAAGAAGGCGAATGCTCAGAGTAAACAAAAGTGGTAGGAAGGACTTATCTACCGCTAAACCAGAAGAATTTTGTTGGAGGGCTATGAAATGAAGACAATATATTGAGGTAGACTAAAATAATGATGTCAGGAAATAAGGAAAGTGGCCTTATTCTGTGTTGCAATTATCATCCCATCACCTATCTGCAATAATTATTCAATCTTTTCCTAGATAGGAAGAGCTTTGGAGGCGTGAGCCAGTTCCTCCAGAGTGAGTTTACTAGTTCAGATTTTGCAGAGCCCGTAACAGAGAAAGAAGAACAATAAAATTTATGTAGAGCCTGTAATCACTCTATAGATGATATGTTTACATAGTCTTGCAGACAGAGTGGGAGAGTCTCTGGACAGACTGGAAGTGATGGGTAAGTATATCAGAAGGGTAACAAATTTAAGTGTATCTGATCTCTCCCCACTTCCAGTCCTTTCCAGGCATGGACGGGGACGGCAAACAAAAGCAACAGCAAAATGCCATGCAGAAAAACTTGTAAAGACACTACAGCCAGGGAGCATATTCAGAAGGGGTATTCTAGTTTCCCCTCAAATCTTTCAATCACAAGTGGTTCTATATATGGAGATAACCTGTAAACATATTTCAAAAAAAAAGGCAATGAAGACTAGTTAAGCTATTTTGATGGAAGAATACCATAGCTGCCACAATATTGTAACAGAATTAAAAGAATGGGTGAGCAGACTCAACTGCTTTTTTTCTGTCTTAGAAGCCAGAGTCTAGGAACACATGCAAGTGAGTATTGGGGGCAGATCATAGGATCATAGGACAATTTAGTGAAATGGATCTCTTTTGCTGGCAAGAAATTGCATCTGTCCTTTAGTATGATGACAGTAGTTTTCTGCCCATGACTAGGTTGTAAATTAGTCATGGTCTTAATGGCGACAATCTTAAGTACATTTCTCTGTACATAAAGAGCAGATAATAGCTGACAAACTCATATGGATGCTCTGAAATCTCACAACAAAGCAGAATTGTCCTGCTAATAACAATACAATTATTGTGAAAGAGGTCCTCTGTGAATCTCTATTAAAACTAGTTCAACCATATTCCTGGAAGAACGTTTTTCATGTCTTCAGTAGTATACCTGATACATTCATGACAGTGTCTCTAAAATATGGTGGATGCAAAAGCAACATAGGATGTAGAATATCCAGGTTCAACAGGCAGTCCTTCTTCTTTCAGAGTAAAATAGGACAAAAAAGCTGTTCTGAATCAAGAAGGATAAGGACTTGAACCTCGGTCATCTTTAGCCTAAGCTAGAAAGATGGTCTCCTAATTATTTTTTAAAGGTCACCTTTTTTTTTTTTTGCTTTCAAAAGCTGAAAACATTTAACACAATAGGAATGTACTACTTGCAACACTGTCTAGACATTTTGACAAATTGAATCAAGGTTGATTTTTACTCAAAAATTGCAAATTTCCTCATTTTTTCCTGCCTTGAAGACTTTGTATTGACCCATTAAGACAGTCAATCATTTAATACCACAACCTGAAACACTCACTGAGTAAAATACATAAGACCTGAAAATCAAAAGAAGAGAGCTACCTGTAAGTAGGAAAAGGAATTGCTCGAGCCCTGCAGTTCATTGAAACTTGTCCATCTGAAGATTCTTCTGGGTAGATGGTATCAATGGGTTGCTCCTCAAAAACAGGTCCATAACCTTTGTTTCCTTCCTCTGAAAAACAGAGTTTGAGATTAATTAGTTTTTAATTAGTAGGCAAACTGAAGATGAATTGACATTACACTTTCCACATTCAAAATGTGAAGGCTAGTGAGTCCTCCAAAATCAAGTTTTATATGTATCAACAAAATCAGAGCAGTATGGATAACAGAAGTGCTGGCTTTCCTTCACTCACTCCTGCTTCACTCCTGCTCTCTGAGAACAAAAGTAATTCAAACTATGTTCCTGTAAAACTACCTTCTCTGCCTTCTCCACTGACACCATAAATTATTTGATGGAGACAATAATGAATTGAAGATATATCCTTTAGGAATGCAGTTAGATCAACTCACTTCACAGAGGCCAACGAATTCTCATCAAACATGTTCAGATGCAAAACAACTATCAACATATTAAATGTTTCTTATCAGCTCCAATTCTTTTATACATTTGGAAAAAATCTTTATTGCATCAGCTAAAGAAAAATTTATGTTGGAGATCACAGCTGAAAATTACATTGTTTCCAGAATATATTTCTGTCCTTCTTTTCATGCTTAAGTATATGTATGTGTTAACTCTCTCTCCTCCAAAAAAAAATCTAAAAAAAAAACCCACATCAAAAATAATTTAAGTTTGTAAAGCCAAGCACTTAAAGGTGAATAAATGTCAAACAGGTCTGACAACAAACTACTCTTTTTCATCTTTATCCTCTGTTTGCTGATGCTGTTGAAAAGGTTACAGGGTCTGCCTGCCCCTGTGCTTTCCCTTCTCCTTTATCGCCTATAAGCGTCCAAGACTGCTCTTCGAGGTCTAGGAGCAAAGGTGGAAGGCTATGGGAAAATTCTGCCCAGCAAATCCAGGATGCAACTGCTTTTTTTCTGTGAAAACTGCAAATGTGCATTTTAGGTATAGAATGGCATGGTGAGATGATAGTGCATGCTCCATATAGATAACATTTTTAGACAACACAGCTCAACACAGGTCTCTACTGAGACTGAACTAACAGTGTGGACAACTATAAGCAAATGGGAAAAGCAAAGTAGTACATGACTGCTACCAGGTTCACTTTCCATTGAAGTTCAGAGCCTTGCTCCAAATCCTAGAGACACCAGAGATCTGGAAAATGACTGCAGGAATCTTGTAACACAAGGGAAAAAACCCACAGTTTTCCTAATATGATCTTTAGAGATGCTTGAATCTCTTGCTTAAAAATTTCCAACAGCAATTGTTAAGGATGGACAAATCCTAACGTTTCGCAATATTATCCGCGCTGCCTATAAAAATTGTTTCTGTGTTGTACTGCCACATTTACAAAATTTTAGACTAAATTAGGCTGGTTTTATAAAACCTAAAAAAGAAGAAAGAATCTATCTATATAACTAAAGAATGTGAATCATGTCAGTGTTTATGTATCATATACACATAAAACAATAATAATAAGCAGGACCAGAACAGATGAAATGGGCTTTTCTTCTCATCCATAGTTTATCTAACGCATCCATTTCCTTCTTCCTTTCCCTATTTTTACTTCTTCCCTTTTTCTTGTAGGTGCAACTTCAATCAACTGATCTTTTTCCTTGTGCTCTTAGCCTGCCCTTCTTCATCCAAACTTAGTCACTCAGGCGTGATACTTCACTTATAGTGTGAACCTTTCTTTTGCTGATCTTTTCACAAATCCTTTCCCTTCCCTGTTCTCCTTCTCACTGTTTACATACCATTAGTCCACACTCAGCTTACGACTAAGAGTGAAACGTTTATTAGTTGCCCCACCTGACACGCAGTCTGTTCATCTTTTTCTGCTGAGCCAGCCATCTGAAACCAGATTCATAATAGATTGCAGTGGAAGGGCCATTATAAAGCATATTTGATAGGTGTGAGAAACAGACATTCACTCAGTATAATTAGCAGTGCTGGCGCAGCATTAAAAATTCATGCCATGAAATGCCTAAGTGGTCTGTAACATTTGAATCTTAAGGTGGAAAGAGTCAGCTGCATATGATATGGCTATCTGCTGCTAGAGGCCGTTGTTCTTCTGTACTCGAATTTAAGAACTGGACAGAAAGTGCCATCAGGTTTGTGGCTCAGTCGTTGCAGGCTCTGAGCAAATATGTGATTCTCGACTTTTCGGTCTGAAATTACTTCTTCTTTTGATCTAGCAATATGTAGATTTTTACATAGTGGTGTGCTTGAAAATATCAAAGTCAGCAGACCATTTTTCAAAAGCTCTGCCTTTCTTTCTAGTTGCTTGTCTTTGCTTCTTTGAAAGACTTCTCTTCTCATTACATGAATTAGTCTTTTAAAATGAAGTTGCCCAACCATACGTGTCACAGAGTAACTTCTGGACCTACTCTTGGCCCCAAAGGAAACGGATTTTTTTTTTTTCCCAACCTTGAACTGGAAAGGGAGCTGTAACCAGTTTTCTGCTAGTGCCATAATCTGGTGTCTGTCTATGAATACGCAATAATAAAAAAGATATCTGCAGAAGGATTGTTAAAGATCATGTTTCATTAGTTCAGTACTTATTTTCATAATATAGTTCTATATAAATCTAATAATTCTATGTATTGCTGTAACTACACTGACACTAATTTACTCATGTCAGGTAAATTTGGCATAAATCTAACAACACTAAGACAAATTCTGACTCGATTTTCAAAAGATGAATGACTTCAGCAAAGCTGTCCTGGATGTAGGTCACTGTAACATTGGTAGGAAGAAGGGAAGGGATTGATTTATCAAAGTTATTGTACATTAAAAATACCCTAAATTAACCAAGTAAATAATTCCAGCTTAGCTTACAGGTCTTCATTCAAAAACACATTTAGGGAAACACTGATCATGACACTAGAAGGTTTCTTTAATTGTCTTTTTTCGGGGAATGGCTAAGTGATCTTGGTCTATTTGGACATTACTGTGATGAAAAGACATAGATATACCTAGGGAGAGGAGATGGCATAACTAGAAAACTGCTTGGGATACAACTGGGAAGGGAATCAAAGGAACTGAAACAGAGAAAAAGAAAACTTCATATGGCATAAATGAGGTGCCAGGAAAATACCATCCAGTATAGACATCATAATACATGACTTTTCGGCAGAAATGTGGACAGGGTTAGGGGAAAAGTGAAGGAAATTCTCACCATCAAGGAAAGGGTGAGCAGTGCTCAACTGCACACAAACATACACACACAGAGCTCAGCTCCTCTCTTCCCAACTTCTTTCCCATTTCATCCCGTTAAACAATGTTTGAAAAACCTTACTCTGAACAAGCACTCTGTGTTTTAGTATTTGAATGATTGTATTAGCTGTTCAGAAAATTCCTCATCAGCTGCGTTTTCTTGGTTTGACATTATCCCCATTGTGACAACATGTTTTTGTCAAATTTCTAATTATTTAGACTGTTACTAAGAAATAATGAAGAAAAAATTACACCAAGAGTATTTGCACATACTCATCTTGCTCTTCATGTGCAATGGAAGTCTTTGAACATAAATATAATATTTACATTCTACACAGTATTAAGCAACTATGCCAACCTGCTACTACCATAGACAACATAAAATCTTGAACTCAAAACATCAGTTTCAGTGGGCTAGAGTGCTGAGCAAATAATTCCTGTATCAAGAGAAAGCAGGTTTACTTCGCTTGTTTCAACACCAGTCACGCAAATCACTTTCAGACAAGTCAATTTATTTTATTATCAGCTAATTCAGTCCTTACATGCATCTAATTTATTTTGAAAATCGATTTTACTCATAGATTAAGGATAATGTCGTGAAGTTAAGCTGCTTATAATTATGAGAACCGCTGTATGTATGAGCAGAACCAGTAAGCAAAGTTAAAAAAATGTAGTTTATTAAAGGCTTTGTGAATTTTTTTAGTTCACAGGAGAAGACAGCAGTTCTTGGGCTTATTTTTTTCCAAAACAGAAAATTAAATAAAACCCAATTGTTTACTTTTGTCTTACTCATTCTCAGCTGCAGATTGCACATATTGCATATGTTTTCAGGGGTTGTTTTATAACGTGTAGCAAATCATGGAACATAAAATGCTTTAAAAGGCTTTTCTTATAGATAACCTAGGCTTGCAGCATTCCAGTATCTCAAACCTTAATAAGATGACACAGAGGAGATAAAGTTCAATAAATGAAGTGATAGCAAGAATAGTAATTCCTTCTTTCTTTCTTCTAAGTCTACTCTCTTATGTACTGGAAATTTGAAGTAAGACTCTTAATATCAAGTGTAGGATTTATCTCCTGTAATTTTAAAAGTTAGGGATTTTGTCCAAACTAGTCATATGGGCTTTCTTTAGAGGAGCCAGACAAGCATTTCCAGCCAGCAATTTGGATATCCTATTCACTCTTCATGAACTACAGAGAAAGCTGAAACTTGTATCACATACTTAACCCTTAGATGGTTAAAATAAAGAGCAATGAATCTTCTTCCCTTAAGAGAGTTTGGATACACCCGACTGTAGCTGTGCGACATGACCGAGAGTCTCTCAGCTGAGCCCACTGGCTGAAGCCTGCTCCTGGCACTGAACCCAGAATCCAAGCCTCCTCCTGGAGCTCAACCTTCTGAGGTAGCTGTAGCAGCTGTAGCACCATCACTAGTAACAACAGGAACACTACTGGCAATTTCTCTCCCATTTCTTCAAGTGTTAAGATTCAGGAGGGAGGTACAATGATGGCACAGCCCACTTCCACAACTGATGAGAGACCTATTTTTATACACTCGGTTTTGCTTGCTTTGCAGCAGCTTCGAGAAACCTCTGTGGAAGGTCAGGGAGAACATGGTCAGGTAGTACTAAGAAAACAGTCCTTGCCCTAAATAAATTATTATTCCACTCCAGTGCAGCACCAGAATTGCAACTGCACTTTCTGCTTCTTACTTGTTCTGCAGGGCTCAGACAACCAAAGAACATGGAGACGGTCAAGCACGAAGAGACACTATTGTCCTTACACCCTCACATATTCAAAGATAACAGTGTACCTGCTCCTTCTTCGCCAAAATTAAACATCCTCT